CACAATGCCCGGCTATTTTTTGTTGCAATTTGACCGGGGCCAGATTCGAAATCACCACCCACAGTATATGGGGCTGGCGCCCTACCCACTAAGCCACAGGTGTTGCCCCCTTATAGACTTTTACATTTTTTCAATCAGCTCCTAGTCATAGTATCATGCCATAATCAAAGTATGGCGGCAAAAATATCATGTCATGCTAGATCTTCTGGCTTTATCTTCCAATATATTACATAAAATCACTCAACTGCTCTTAGGCAGTATGCGTGGGTCTGTGATGTGTGCAGGCGTGTGTATATGTATAGTTTTACTTTTCTTTACAACATGTGATCACATTATATATGCAATTCCCTATTGTGCTGAGTTCATATGACTTTATATTGTGAGCATTTTCCCAAATTATGAAAATTACTGGAAAATACAGTTTTTAATGGAGATATACCATTATGTTTTATTGCTATAATTTATTTAACTAATCTCCTAATAGTGGACATTTAAACTCTTGCCAGCTCTTTTCAATACAAACAATGCTGTGAATAAACTACCTTGCCTATAAATCTTTGTCTTTTACACCTCTGCTTCGAATGGTACTGAGAATTGTCAGAACCTGACTAGGTTGTTGTAAGATTGTGCATAGTTGAGGGCAGCAAAAGCACTGCTTGTCTTTTTCTTGGGGAATACCTGGCTTTATTCCATTATTATCTTTATCTTGGCAATGAGCGCATACAGTTTCCCACTTGCCTGGGTCTTCTGGATGGACCTGGTCCAGCTCAGGCATTGCACCTTTGCCCTCAAGAAGTGAACAAATGTGTGTGACCAACTGTTCTAATCTTTTTTTGTTGAGATAGAGTCTCACTTTGCTGCCCTTGGTAAAGTGCTATGGCATCCTAGCTCACAGCAACCTCAAACTCCTGGGCTCAAGTGATCCTCTTGCCTCAGCCTCCTGAGTGGCTAGGACTATAGGTGCCCAGCACAGTGCCTGGCTACTTTTTTTTTTTTAAGACCACTCTTGCTCAGGCTGGTCTTGAACTCAGGCAATCCACTCATTCACCTTGGCCTCCCAGAGTGCTAGGATTACAGGTGGAGCAACGGAGACTGGCCTGTTCTAATCTTTAGAACTCCAGAATTTACCTCTCAATGTTATTGTGGGTCACCTTGTGGAGTGGGGCAGTGAGGAGAATTGCTTCTTGCAAGGACAATCAGGCAGGAGCAGCATGAATGGGAGAGTGGAGGGAAAGGTAGAGGCCAGAGGGGCTGCAGACCTATGATTTGCCTTCTGTTGGGGCCTACATTTCTATTTGGCTTTGAGGGCCAGGTATCACTTGGTAACTGCTAATTCCAGCAGCCCCTTCCCCCAATCTGTGCTGCAGAGCCCATGCTCTCTGGCTTTCTCAGAAATCTAACACCACCAATTACGCATTCATTCATTAAACAAATATTTACTGTGCACCTATTGTGTGCCTGAGACAGCTGTAGGCCTTGGGGTTATACATAAGTAAATAAATGCAAGTCACTGCCCTCACAGAGCACATAGTAGGGGAAGGGCAGAAAATACATATATCAGCAAAAACATATATTTAACATGTTAGGTTATAAGTGTTACGATTCCATTCCATCTTGTAACAACAATTCCCTTGTTCTTCCTTCATGGCAGGTCTCCTTCAGGAAGACACCTGCACTTGCATCCTTCGCTTCCCTTCCCATTTGTTGAAGAAATGAATGAGTAAATGAATGAATCCTCATTTGGAAAACTGCAGTGTCTGGGCGGCACCTGTGGCTCAGTGGGTAGGGTGTCGGCCCATATACCGAGGGTGGCAGGTTTGAACCCTGCCTCAGCCAAACTGCAACAAAAAATAGCCCGGCATTGTGGCGGGCACCTGTAATCTCAGCTACTCGGGAGACTGAGGCAAGAGAATTGCCTAAGTCTAGGAATTGGAGGTTGCTGTGAGCTGTGAAGCCACAGCCCTCTATGAAGGGTGACAAAGTGAGACTCTGTCTCTAAAACAAACAAACAATAAAACAGAAAACTGCAGTGTCAGAGTGAACGAGGTAACTGTGGTGACAAGGAAAACGTTACAGGGGAGAGGCAAAATAAACAGTCCTGGTAATCAGACTTGGTTTATAATTCCCACCCAAGAAGGAATGCTATAGTTTAGCTGCTGTTGCTGATCTGAGGAAAGTTCTGCTACTCTACCAAGGAACAAGCTGTCACCTCAAACTCAGCAGGTTCAACTTTGCACTGATTTCACCTGGGACGCTGTTTCTGCTCCACTGATCCCTACCCAGTAGGCAGAGTCCTTGCTTCGGTGCTTTCTCCTCATTTTCCTTTTCCCCACATCCAGTTAATCACAAAGACCTTCTTTATCATTATATAGCTGCCTGTAATTGTTTTTTAAGGCTGTCATAAGGAAGTACCATAAAGCCAGTGGATTAAACACCAGAAATTTATTGTCTCACAGTTCAGGAGGCAGGAAGTCAAGGCGTTGGTGTGGTTGATTCCTTCTGAAAGCTGGGGAGGAAGAATCCGCTCCTGGCTGCTCTCCTGGGCTTAGAGGCCATCGTCACGCTCACGTGGTATTTTCCCTGTATCTTCATGTTGTCCTGCTGTATGCATTTCTGGGTCCAAACTTCCCTTTGTCCCTTTACAAAGGACATCAGTCGTATTGGCTTGGGACTCACCTGGTGACCTCAGTTTCATTTGATTACTTCTATAAAGACCCTATCTCCAAACGAGGTCCTATTCTGAGGTACAGGGGATTAGGACTTCACCATGAATTCTGGAGGTCAGGGGGAGGGAACAATTCAACCCATGACACTGCCTCAGTTCAAGCCTTCAGTTCTCACCTATGTCATTTCTGCAATTGCTTTGAGAGCGTCCTTGCTTCCAGCCTAGTACCCATCCTGCTGCCAGAAGATCAGGTAAAACCTGTTCTGACTGTTGGGATAAACCAAGCCCTGTGCCATGCCTCCCAGGCCTTTTGTGTTCTGGCCTCTGCCATCCTTCCAAGTCTTATTTTCTGCTGCTCACATAGCATTGCTGCAGCCATCATGATCCTATGCCATGATTGCCCTGCCTTTGAACTTGGCTATGTGGGGTTCTTCCTACCTCTCCCCTTACTTTCCCTGGTTAAATGACTCAGATGGTGTATCTCCTCTGAAAAACCTTCCCTAAATCTGGGTTTGTGCCTCTCCCCATGCCCTGGGGCCTCTGCCATTCTCCTGTATTGTAATCTTATTTATTTACAAGCTTAGCCCACTTACACCATCCAGATCATCAGGACCTCCAGTTCAATGCCTCCTATACCATAGGCACTCAATACACATTTGTAAGTGGTCTGAAGCTGCAAATTCATTTGTTTGCTGAACAAACGAATACTTAAATGAATGAACCCTCATTTAAAAAACTGCAGTGTCAGAGTGAGTAAGCTCACTGTGGTGACATGGAAAGCCTCATAAGGGAGAGGCAGAATAAAAGGGTGGGGAGAGGCAGAATAAAAGGGTGCGGTAATCAGACTTGGCTTATACTTCTCACCTAGGGAGAAGTACTGCCCTTCAGCTGCTGTCGCTGCTCGAGGAAAGTCCTGCTACTCCACCAACTTTTTCTTTGTCTAAGAACATGGCCAACAAGAAAGTAATTGCAGTATTTGGATCTACAGGTAAAAAAGTCTTTACTTGTTAAGTGCATGCTGACTTTGCTCACTCTTCTGTCTTCCTGCCTCAAACTTCAGAGTCTGCAAGTCTGGCCTGAACAAAGAGCCCTTCAGAGGAAGGAAAAAAAGGTGTTCTATTGCTTTAGTTTTTCTTTTCCTTTAAAAAAATTTCAGATTACTATCAGGGTACAAATGATTAGGTTGCACTGTTTGCATTTCTTAGGTGAAGTTCAAGTTGCAATTGAGCCCTTCACCCAGGATGTGTGCTGTATGACCTTACATTGTATATGTTAGGTGATGTGTTTTCCTCTCCTGTGGGCACGTAGTTGTTTATCCATTGTTTCATATTGGTATTGAATACACCAAATTCTTGCTTTTCCATTCTTGTGATACTTTACTAAGAAGCATGTGCTTCACTTCCATCCAGGTTAATACAAAAGATGTAAAGTCTCCATCTTTTCTGAATAATATTCCAGGGCATACATATACCACAGTTTGTAAATCCACTCACGCGTCAAGGGGCAAATGTTAAGCTCTCTTTATCCCCCAGTGTCTTAGTCCATTTGCATTGCTATAAAGGAATACCCGAGGCTGGGTAATTTATAAAGAAGACAGGCTTGGCGCCTGTGGCTCAAATGGCTAAGGTGCCAGCCACATATACTTGAGCTGGCGAATTTGAATCCAGCCTGGGCCCACCAAACAACAATGATGGCTGCAACCAAAAATTAGCTGGGCGTTGTGGTGGGCGCCTGTAATCCCAGCTACTTGGGAGGCAGAGGCGGGAGACTCGCTTGAGCCCAGGAGTTGGAGGTTGCTGTGAGCTGTGATACCACAGCACTCTACCCAGGGGAATAGCTTGAGGCTCTGTCTCAAAAAAAAAAAAAAAAAAAAGAAGATAGATTTATTTGGCTCATAATTCTGAGGGCTAGAAAGTTCCAGATTGGGCTTCCTCATCTGGTGAGGGCCTCAGGCTGCTTCGACTCTTGGTGAAAGGTGGAGAGAAGCCAGCGTGTATAGAGGTCATGTGAAGAGAGAGTGGGAAGACACCAGCCTTTTTCTGACAACCAGCTCTCCTGTGGAAACTAATAGAGTGAAAACTCACCCCTGAGTGACTGATCTGCCCCCAGGACCCAAACCCTTCCATTAGGCCCCCCACCTCTGGGGATCAAATTTCATCATGAGGTTTAGAGGGGACAAACATCCAAACTGTAGCAACCAGCATTCGAAATTTCCCAGTGTCATGCATAACGTGGGACTTTATACACCATTATATTGGGCACTCGGCAACCTCATTCTGTAGCTCAGCTGATATCGTTGGACTGTGAGAAATTATGACCTTCCCTGATATAATCATTTCAATACCTTCATTTTGTCTGTTATTTCGTTCTGGAGTTCTTCTGGCTTGATCTTCTAATTGTTTTGTCTCTCTGTCCGTCCTGCTTCCTCCTCCCCCTGCCTTACTGGGGGCAGATGCCGTGTTTAGAACGTAGTCTTCTCCGATCTGAGAGAAGTTTCATTCTTTTACAATTTTTTCCTTCAGTTCCCTGCACTGTTTCTGTTTCTATTAGTTTGTTTATTTTGGCTTTGCCTATCATGTCGGATGTGTTCCTCAACATCTGGTGAACTATGGTTATTTCCTCATATTTACTACTAGACAATTTACCATGAAACATTGATTGAAGCTCTGTGTCCACAGGCGGAGCTCACTGAATGGTAGACCATACTGTGGGGTTATGAGTGGTGCATTGGTGGGAATCCACAACAAACAGATGCCACATTCCTTCAGAGAAGCTGAGAAAATTTTAATAAATGTAGGCCAGGAACAGAGCAATAAAGAATAAGTCAGCAACAGGGGAAGGCAAAGAAGGGCAAGAGAGCTGACCAGAACCTGGGGAGAGCAGGGGTGTGACAAGGGTCACCTCTCCTACCCCTGGATCTCCTGCTAATGCCTCTCATTGCCCAGACCCAACCTGAACACAAGAGAGCCCACGGATGGACTCAATAAAGGTCAGCCTCCCAGGGCACTAAGCAGGACGGAGAAAGTGAGTGTGGATCTGGAAACATGAAAATGTATCCAGGACAGGGATCCAGCCAATTTGATGGAAGAACCCAGCACCTGGCCTATAGCATGGGGTGCTCCATGTGTATCTGCAGAGCAAATAAATCAGGCAAGCATTGATTATAACATGATTGCCCTGAATGCCACAAAACACTTCTGAAAGTTGTCAAACTGAAAACATAGACTATAAACCTCTGGCCAACTAGAAACTTTATGTGGAGGGTAAGAATTACCTCAATATAAGATCTATAACCAGATAAAAGTAGAATTGTCTTTGTTGAATCTGGGCTGACACCCCTAATTCTGTCACCCTGCTCCCTTGGCCACCTTGTGGCCACAAGCCTCTCCCACTCCTCTCTTACCACGTCTCCTGCAAAGTTACTTCTGTAGAAGCTGCAAGGAACCTAGTTTGAAAGCCAAGGGATATGTGAAGTAACACATAGCACCTCCCGAAGTAGAAACTGCAGAGAGCTCTACTCTGAACCCTGGGACTCCCCCACCAGCTTCTCTTGGTGAACATTCTTCCTGATCTTCCTGTGTTTCTTCTCTCCTGCAGGAGCACAGGGTGGCTCTGTGGCGAGGGCCATTTTGGAGAGCAAAAATTTTGCAGTGAGAGCATTGACCAGGGATGTGACTCGACCAAATGCGCTGACACTCCGCGACCTTGGTGCTGAGGTGGTAAAAGGTGACCTGAATGACGAAACATCCGTGGAGGCTGCCTTAAAAGGTGCCTACGGGGCCTTCGTGGTTACCAACTTCTGGGACGATTTCAGCAAAGAAAAGGAAGTGTGCCAGGTGGAAACCAATTATTTCTTCTTTTCCCTTTGAGCCCTTTCCTCTTATTTTTCTTAGCTCCTTCTGTCTTCTCTCGAGGGGTGCAGGCCTTCAGTCTGGGCAAGAATAAATCTCACTCTGTAACATCCCGCTGGCATTTGTGAAAAATATGTACTTTAGGCACTTGTTAAGGTGTCTCTGATTGTGAAATTAATGTCATGTGGCACCTGTCCCATCTCAAGACCTCGATATTCGAGAGGGACTGTTTAATGGAGCTGGTCACTAGATTCTCCGCTTCTCACCATTGTTTGTAGATGACATCTAGGAGTGGCAGCAAGGCTACCCCGTAAATTGAGGCTACTCAGAGTGAAATGGGGAGTATAAAAATGTAATGAGTATATTTATACTTCAGACAGAATTTGAGATATTTAGTAATAGGTACATAGAAAAAGAGATAAATAAGTAAATAAATCCACAATAAATTCCAGGCAAAATAAAAGTTTGCAGAAAAACTAAATGTAACTATAGAGATACAGCTGCTCCTGTATGTAAGCACTGATTGTCACTCTAGCCAAACTATAATATTGGGGCTGGTATAGTGGCTCACATTTGTAATCCTAACATTTTAGGAGGCCAAGGTAGAAGGATCTCTTGAGGTCCCAAGTTCGAGACCAGCCTGTGCAACATAGTAATATACCATCTCCACAATAATAAACAAATAAATAAATAAATCAGTGGGCTGTGGTGATGGGCATCTGTGATCCCAGCAACTTGGGAGGCTGAGGCAGAAGGGTCACTTGAGCCCAGGAGGTTGAGGTTGCTATGAGCTAGGGTGATGATGAGCAACAGAAGGAGGCCTTGTGTCCAAAAAACTAAACAGAACAAAATTCTCTAACATTGGAAAAAGGAAATTGTGTACATGTTATATACATGTATGTTATATATACATATATATGTTATATACGTGGTGCTGGTGGTGGACTCTGTGTGTGTGTATGAAAGAAAGAGAGAGGATGAGAAGGAGATCACTAAATACCTATCTTTTGTAGAAGGAATGTGGGTGATATTTCATATTGAAAAAATCAAGAATTTGGCCAGGCATGGTGGTTCATGCCTGTAATCTTAGCACTGTGGGTGGATTGGCTGAGCTCAGGAGTTCCAGATCAGCTTAAGCAAGAGCGAGGTTACTGTGAGTTACGAAGCCACAGTACTTTACCAAGGCTGACAAAGTGAGACTCTGTCTCAAAAAAAAAAAAATTCAAACTTTTTTTTTTTAAAGAAAAAATGATAGGTAAATGAGATAAACAGCAATAATCAGCATAGGGGTATAGGGGAACTTCTTTTTCATTATGAGATCTACTTTCCACCCTGACAGTACTGTTTGACAATTTAAACTATGTATATGTATAAATTTTGGAAAACATGAGGATTATATTTTAAAAATGTAATGGATGAGAACAGCTAGTAGCAGAAATTGCACAATCCAAAAAATTAAGAGCAGGATTGGCCTGTTTCAAAACTGTCTGTTGAATTAATTATACTGATTTACAGGCTGTCTTTTAGTGATCAACTCTGAAAGGGCTTGTTAATTAGGAGCTCTGAATTCCAATTCTGACATCCACTCACTATGGAACCCAGGGTTACAAGTCACCTCCCTGCTTCACTTTCTGCCATCTGCTAAACCAGATTAATTATGTCTTCCTCTGCCGCCTGCTTGAAGTTTTGTAAGGAAAAGTAAGAAACCGTGAAGAGAAAGAAAGAAAAAAACAGAGAGAGAGATCAAGGTGCTTTAGAAAATACACAAGTAAAGACACAAAAAAGAGAAAATATGTATTAATTTTCTGTGTGTATATATTCCTCTAATTATGCCCTTAATATCCAAATGGTGTACAGATGTAGTCCATTTCCAGAAATATATAACACGTGTAAGCGTGATGGAAGGTGATCACAGAGACACTGAGAGCCCAGAGGACAGGCCCCCTGTTCCCTGACAGGCCCCCCAGGTTGCCTCTCAGCTTCAGAAGGGTTCCCGGGATTCCTTTCTCCTCTGCTCCCCCCCACCCCCCCAGTTTCATAGTTCGCTACTCGCCCCCATGCCCAGTTCCTGGGTCTCACCGCACCGTGGGCATGGGCAGAGGGGTCAGCACGTTAGGGTGGCCTCTTAGTACTTGAATCTATTTTGATGCTGGAAGCCCTTCCTCCCACGGGGCTGAGGACAATACGAAAAGGAGCGGGTCGCGGGGAGCCAGCGCCTACCCTCTAGTCTCTTTGCAAACACACTGCTCTACATACAGGATATCCTTTCCTCCCGCAGGGGAAGATGGTGGCACAGGTCGCCAAGCGCCTGGGCCTGAAGCACGTGGTGTTCAGCGGCCTGGAGAACGTGAAGCGGCTGAGCGGGGGCAAGCTGGAGGTGCCGCACTTTGACGGGAAGGGGGAGGTGGAGGAGTACTTCTGGTCCATCGGTGTCCCCATGACCAGCGTCCGCGTGGCAGCCTACTTTGAAAACTTTCTCACGATGTGGAAGCCGGCGAAGGCCCCCGATGGAGATTACTACACCTTGGGTAAGTGGAAGGTTGCGGCAGAAGTTAACCAGGGACTGGTCAGCCCTCCTCTCCCTGGCGTCCCCTCTTCAGAGGACACACGTCATTTGCATGCCCACTGTGCGTGCGGGAAGGGCTCTGAGGGATGCCAGATTATCCTCGAGATTTCCTCAAGGAAGCTCCTGTTCCAGGGCAGAGAACTGGCCCGGGACAGGAAGGACAAAGGGTTACATTTCTAGTCTTGACCTTCCGACCCTCCTCACGGAAGCGCACGTGACCTCCAGCCTCAGTACCTCATGTCTACTGGGAAGGCTGGACAAAAGGACTTCCGAGGGCTCTCCTGACCTTCTTGTAACCAACGGGAGAGGAAAATCGTTCTCCTCCTGACCTGGGTCAGAATTAGAGCCTGGAGAAGCTGTGACCCTCTAGGGCACAGCCCTTACTGCACAGAGTATGATTCCCTAGGTCTGGGAGAATGTAGTTTGGTTTTTTTTTGCAGTTTTTGGCCGTGGCCGGGTTTGAACCTGCCGCCTCAGGTATACGGGGCCGGTGCCCTACTCCTTTGAGCTACAGGCGCCACCCCTGAGACAATGTAGTTTTAACAAGGACTCCTGGTAATTCCAAGGCTGCTAGTCCACTGGCCTGCATTCCCCTGCCCTTTGGGGACACTTTCTTGGGCCATAGTCAGAGATGGCCTCTGTGGAGTAGAGAGAATGTGGGAGTATCCATGGCAGCAATTCAGTGTTTCTTCCCTGGCACATAATTAAGACTTGTTGGAAGCCAGGCGTGGTGGTGCACCTGTAGTCCCAGCTACTCTGAAGCAGGAGGATCACGTGTGCCCAGGAGTTTGAGGCTGCAGTGCACTAGGGTTGCATCTGTGAATAATCATTGCACACACACTCCCACCACCAAATAAAAGGACTGATCAGGAGAATAAGTAGTGGCAGTCCAGGTAGACCTAACTAGAGCCAGGGGTGCCTCCCATATATCACAGATGACTCAGGTATAATTCAACAAATGGCTAGGAAAACGCATACATGTGATAAGTCTGTTTACTCCATTTTCTTCCTATCTCCCAGGTTTCAGAAGCCAGCTCACCTGAGATTCCCCAAGGCCTGAACTAGAATGCTATAATCTACGGATTAGACTAGCCCTGGGGAAAGAGGAGATACCTTACATTTCTCCTAGTACTTAGTACCATTTGAGAGCGCTAGATGTGAAAAGCCTGGTCTCAGCTATCCCTGAGCCTCATTCTCTGTTACAGGAATAGCTAACATTTACTGTGCAATTACTGCTGTTTTACAGATGAGGAAACAGAGGCATAGAGTACCTTTCCCAAGATCACTAATAAGGCAGGGCCACCATTTGATCCAGGCAGTCTGGCTTCAACTCCCATATTCCTTACCACTGTCCTTTAAACTCAGCCCAAGACCCTCGATTCACAAATTAAAACAGACTTCATAGCAGAGCACACTTGACTTTGAGTGCTTCAAAAACTAAAATTGCTTTACAAATATAAAGCACCATTACAAAATGAGCAGACATTTTGCCTACCAAGAAATTCAGGCAGGAAGACAATTTTGTTGTGTAAGGCAAAATATGATATTTAGTCCCTGGATGCTAAGCCTGAGGTCACTTCTATTGGATTGAAATTCTGAGACATTGATTCTTGTCCTGGCCCAATGCTTCCTAGGTGTGAGGCCCTGGGTGATTCTCTAGACTTAGTTTCTTGATTTAAAAATGAAGAGCAAGGCCAGGTACAGTGACTCACGCCTGTAATCCCAGCACTCCGGGAGGCCGAGGTAGGTGGATTCCTTGAGCTCAGGAGTCGGAGACCAGCCTGAGCAAGAGTGAGAGACCCTTTTTCTGGAAAATAGCTGGGCGTTGTGGAGGGTGCTTTAGTCCCAGCTACTTGGGAGGCTGAGTCAAGAGGATCACTTGAGCCCAAGAGTTTGAGGTTGCTGTAAGCTATGAAGCCATGGCACGCTACTGAGGGCATCAAAGTGAGACTCAGTCTCAAGAACAAAACAAACAAACAAACAAAACCAAGAACACTGGGGCTAGATAATTTCCACATTGGATTGTAGCCCCAGTAATCTAGAAATCTATAAGCGTCCTATCACAGTGTAGGAAGAACACAGGCTTTGGAGTGAGACATGTGGGTTTGAATTTACTTCTGCTACTTGCTGGCCAATAACTTGGTACTTGGTAATTCCTGTTAAAAAAATCCCTATGTTTCAAGGATTGAACTGGCCAATATGTTTGTTCACTCACTCATTCAATAAATATTTGAGAGTTTACTCTATGTCAGTCACTAGGGGATCGGTAATGAACAAAAAAGATAAAACCCTGCCCTCATGCAATTGATATTCTTATGGAAGAGATAGATAATAAACAATAAGCATGATAGATAAGTAAATATATTGTATATTAGAAGGTGACAAGTGCTATAGAAAGAAAATGGGGCAGTGTAAGGTAGACACGTGTGCTAGCACTAACAATTTAAACAAGATGATCAAGTGGGTCTCTTTGGGTACCGTTTTTTTTTTTTTTGGCTTTAAGAAAATGGGTCCTATTATGTTGCCCAGGCTGGGCTTGAACTCCTGGGTTCAAGGGATCCTCCCACCACAGCCTCTTGAGTAGCTGGAATTACAGGTGTGTACCACTGTACCAGGCTCTGTCTGAGCACCTTCTGATGGAGGTAGATAGTGAGCTTTATGGGCATTCAGGGGAAGAAGCATTTCAGGGAGAGAGAACAGCCAGCGTGGCTGAAACAGAACGAGGGGAGGGAGGGTAGTAGGAGGTAAGCTCAGAGATAATAGAAGGTCTGATCACATAAAATTTGTAAACCATTAGCTTTTCCTCTGAGAGACCTGGAAAGTCACTGGAGGGTTCAGGTTGGATGTGACATGAGCCAATTTTAGTTTTTACAAGATCACTTTGAGTTTTGTGTGGAAAGACACTATGGAAGAACAAGGGTGGGAACAAGGAGACCAATTCTATAACAAACCAGGTCACAGATGACGGTGGCTTGGACCAGGGTGGTAGCAGTGAAGATGGTAAGAAGTAGTTAGATTTTGAACATACTGTGAAAATGATTTCCAAAAAAATAGGATGTGGGAGGTGAGAGAAGTGTCAAGACTGACTCCAAGATTTGTGACCTGAGAATCGGAATGAAAGAGTTATTGCTAAATGAGATGGGGAAAACTTGTGGGTGGGGCAGATTATGGGGGGTGTTGGAATTCAGTTTGGGGCCTGTTGAGTTTAAAATGTCTATTAAAACAGTCAAGTAAGGATGGTGAGTAGGAAGTGGGACATGTGAGTCTGTAATTCAGCATAGGTATCTCGGCTTCTGATATTGCTATTCATACTTAGTGAATTGCAGATATTTAGCAAATGGTTGTTCTTTTTAATCAATACCCAGGTGCTATTGTATTTTCTCAAACAAAACCTTCTAACTGTGGATAGATTATGGCCACTTGGTTTTACTTCCTGTACTTTTTATTTAAGGGGCTGGTTACTTTAGATTAGTGGGACCTACTGAGGATGTGATGTAATTAGCTATTTTTATCTTTTTTTTTTTTTTTTTTTTTTAACAAGCACTGCCGATGGGGGATGTACCGATGGATGGTATCTCTGTTACTGATGTTGGAGCAGTCGTCACGAGCATTTTTAATTCTCCAGAGGAGTTTATAGGCAAGGCCGTGGGCCTCAGTGCAGAAGCACTAACAATTCAGCAGTATGCTGATATTTTGTCTAAGTGTCTGGGGAAAGACATCCGAGATGCAAAGGTGAGTTCTTAGGAGACATCGATGTGATTACAAAAGGCCACCTCAGGTAACATTCCACTAGTTTATAAATTCTGATAGACTTTCAGCAAATTGAGGCTAGAATGAGTTTAGATTGTCAAAAGAAATTGAAAAGGACTCCAGTTTCGCAAATCTTTCTTCATTGGTCAAGACAGCTGAATCCCTCCTAGATGGTTATCTTTCTTTTTTTTTTTTTTGCAATTTTTGGCCAGGCCCAGGTTTGAACCCACCACCTCCTTCCTGTATATGGGGCTGGCACCCTACTCCTTTGAACCACAGGCACTGCCCTCATGGCTTTATTTCTTTGGCTTCGGGTTAATCAGCTTGTTAAGGGAAAATAACTTTTGGGTGAAAAGAACTTAAACTCTGAAGACAGAGAGCCAGTCTTTTCACTTACACTGTCCCAGGGGTGCGGATCTTCGCATGTTGGAAAACTGCATTAATTTAGTTACAATCATCTAAAGCTGCATTTAAAAAACTTCAATTAGATGTGCTTATGCATGTACACTATTTTGTAAAAATCTAACTATGCTGTTCTTAGTAATTTCAAAAAATGAAAACTATTTGATTATTGAAAAGTTAACTAACCTTTTAAGCAGACTTTGAAGTGTCTGCTTTTTGCTGGGAAGCATTTCAATATTTGGTTGTAGCCTGGAGGTCCACAGTTTCAGTTGGTCCTCTAGATGGGTGTCAGGCACATGTGACCTTAAGGGCATCTTGATTTGGGTTAGGTAGGAGAATGCAGCAATATGTGGTTGAAAGGCAAGAAAGTGTGTTTTGGGGGCATATTGCCAAAGGCGGTTTTCCATATTTCTACTGGGTCCTTCTTAGCATCATCTTCTTCTTCTATTTTTTTTTTTTTTTTGAGACTGAGTCTTGCTCTATTAGCTAGGCCAGAGTGCAGTAGTGTCAGCCTAGCTTACTGCTGCCTCACACTCCTGTGCTTAAGTGATCCTCCTGTCTCAGCCTCTCAAGTAGCTGAGTATTTTTCTACTTTTTAAAATAGAGATAGGGGCTCGGCGCCTGTGGCTCAGGTGGCTAAGGTGCCAGCCACATACACCTAAGGTGGCGGGTTCGAATCCAGCCCGGGCCTGCCAAACAACAATGATGGCTGCAACCAAAAAATAGCTGGGCATTGTGGTGGGCGCCTGTGGTCCCAGCTACTTGGGAGGCGGAGGCAGGAGACTCGCTTGAGCCCAGAGTTGGAGGTTGCTGTGAGCTCTGAGGCCATGGCACTCTACCCAGGGTGACAGCTTGAGACTCTGTCTCAAAAAAAATTAATTAATTAATTAATTAAATAAAATAGAGATAGGGTCTTGATCTTGCTCAGGCTGGTCTTAAACTCCTAGCCTCAAACAATCCTTCCACTTCGGCTTCCCAGAGTGCTAGGATTACAGGTCTCAGCCATCATGCCTGGCTACCGTCTGTAATTCTTTTTTTTACAGTTTTTGGCCAGGGCAAACCCTCCACCTCTGGCACATGGGGCTGGTGCCCTACTCCTTTGACTCACAGGTGCTGCCCCTATCTGTAGTTCTTTAGATGCCTTGGTGACATCAACTGAAATGCTAATTTGAGTGTGATGTCATAATTCTCAAAGTCAGTGAACTTTTTATTGCATTGTCCAATTAATAGGCCTATAAAAGCTGCATATTCTTTAGATGATTTGTTTATATTATCCTGCTCATCAGTGATTTATGCTAACTGGGAAAAATGTTCATTTGAAGAAGTGAAATAGCGTCCTACAACTTTGACAATGCATTCTATCCCGATTTCCACATCATTTCCTAAAAAGGAATGGCTTTCCTTTTTCCCTGGAGTATGTAAGCTACTTTATAAGTTGCTTCTGTGGCATCCAGGTCTTACTACTGCTTGAAAGAGTTGTCTTTGCTTTTGCATTTCATCTTTTAATTTCTGCATTATGACCTTTCTCGCCTCTCCCTCTAATTTAAAATATTTTTGGTCCTTGTGAGTGTTATAATGCTGATGGGCATTGAATTTCATTAATGTTGATATTGGAGAATCCCCAAGCAAGCAAATCATCTTTTCTTTAGCGGAAAAAAGATAATATTGCAATTCTTAATCTTCATTAAAAATCTGTTTTCTTCTTTTAGCATTTTCTTGGTCTTCTTTGACAATGATGGACTGTTAAGCAGAGAGAATTAAAAAATACTGTTGAGCTGTGCAACTATTCACAAATTCCACTTCAAACAGAAACATAGTGTACTATTGTCAAAAGCTAGTAACAGAATGGTGTCCTCAATCCTCCAACCAGCCTCGTGCAGTAATGGCGCCAGTTAGGCAGAGGAGGTTAGAACAAAATCATGAGCTTAGCAGCCATCAGTTTAACGCTTACGGCTTACTAATGTTCTAATTGTGCTGGTCCATCTGGGAGGATTATTTTGTTGACACTTACTGTATTCTTTGGTATTTTAATACATTTATTTAAAAAATAAAAATAACCACAAAGTATTAATAAACATAAAAGGATTTGTCCTATAAAATTTGGATTCAGTCAAAAGGTCACACCTTAGGGGCACAGATTTCCCACCCCTGTGCTATCCCAGCCCCTCTCACTGCCAAACCACTTCAGTCTGCCTGTGCTGGCTGCTATAGGGCAAGGCACTTAGCCTGTGAGCCTCAGCTTCCTCATTTGTAAAGTGGGGAATGATAGTATCTGTTTCAGGGTGTTCTTAGGAAAATTAGAGAAAAGATGTACAACAGGCCTGCCACAGTATTTGGCACATAGTGGAGACATATCAAGTAACTAGTACGAACCCAGTGTTACTTTAAGGAGTTTATAGCAGAGTGGGGGTGAAAACGTTGGTACACTGTGATCATTATAAGACATAACACTAGAGGTGCTTAATTGTGTTGTCCACACTGTCTGTGCTATAGGTGACCAGAGAAGACCTCATGGAATAAGAAAGCTTGGATTGGTCATTGAGGACAAGACTGTGTACAGGTGGAGGGGAGCAATAGGGCTGGCCTGGCTAAATGCTATAAGAAATGTGAAGGAACTAGAGGCAGTATGGGAAGTAGGCAAATCCTGGTTCTGCCCTTATCTATGTAGGGAATCTTGATAATTTACTTCTCAGCCTTGATTTCTTCACGTGTTCAAACAAGGTATTTTCCCTCTCTTGTAGGATTGTTGTGAGGATGAAATGAGATAATCAGGGCAGGTGTGTGGCACTGGGTCTGGCACTTAGTAAGCCCTCAAAACTGATCATGCTATAAATCATTCAGGAAAGGCCTTGAGTAGAGCATGGCCAGGACAGACTTCTTATAGAAGAGTGAGAAGAATTGCTGATATTGAGCATAACTAGCCATTTTCCCAAGCAGGTATTTATAAGAGGAAGGAAAGAGAGGGCAGTTATGATGGCTCAGGTCTGTAATCCCAACACCATGGGAGGCCAAGGGAGAGGATTGCTTGAGGTCAGGAGTTTAACAGTAACCTGGGCAATATACCAAGACTCCATCTCTAAAAAAAGTGAAAATTTATCTGAGCATGGTGGCGCATGCCAGTAGTTACAGCTATTCAGGAGGCTGAGGCAGGAGGATTGCTTGGGCCTGGGAGTTTGAAGTTGCATTGTGTTATAATTGCACCATTGCACTCTAGTCTGGACAACGGAGTGAGATCTGGTCTCTGTTGGAAAAAAAAAGGGGGAAAGAAAAAGAAGGCTCGGCGCCTATAGCTCAACCGGCTAAGGCGCCAGCCACGTACACCTAAGGTGGCGGGTTCGAATCCCCAG